AGCTGTTAAAGCTATTGCTCGTCTAAGGAAATTTGTAAAAGATTTTAAAGGAGATACACAAACAAAAGGTGGAAACACATGTGTTGAGGACAGACGAGAAGCAGAACTGTTCATAATAAAACTTGCACAAGAAAACATCTTTAGCAAGGAAATCAAGGACTTAACCCAAGGAAAGGACATTCAACTCAAGGATAAGACACACAGGCTGTATAGCTTGAACCCATTTGTTGATGAGCAAGGAGTTCTTAGGGTGGGAGGACGTTTAACAAGAGCAAGTCTGCACCCACACGTCAAACATCCTGCCATTATCCCCAAATCAAGTCATGTGTCGTCTTTACTGATTAAACACTTCCATGAAAAGGTACAGCATCAAGGAAGAGGAATTACTGTCAACGAGCTGCGTTCCAATGGACTGTGGATCACAGGATGCAGCAGTGCAGTTGCTTCACACATCTACAAGTGCACAACCTGCAGAAAGTACAGGAGGCATACCCAAGATCAACAGATGTCAGATCTACCAGAGGACAGAATGGAAACAACACCCCCATTCTCTTACTGTGGTGTTGACTGTTTTGGACCTTTTTATGTAAAAGAAGGTAGAAAAGAACTCAAAAAGTATGGTCTTTTGTTTACATGTATGTGTTCCAGGGCAATACATATTGAAATGTTAGATGACCTTACTACTGATGCTTTTATTAATGCATTGCGTTGTTTTATTTCTATTCGTGGACATGTAAGACAAATCAGGTGTGACCAAGGGACTAATTTTGTTGGTGCTAAAGGAGAGTTTTTGAATGCACTGAAGGACTGTGACAAAGAACAGTTGAAACAATATGGATGTGAGTTTGTTCTGAACACCCCATCCTCAAGCCATATGGGAGGTGTTTGGGAGAGGCAGATTAGGACCATTAGAAGCGTTTTAACTGCTATTCTGGATAAAACTTCTAAGAGACTTGATACTTCTTCCCTCAGAACGTTTCTGTATGAAGTGATGGCTATTGTGAATAGCAGGCCGTTAACAGTAGAAAACCTAAGTGATCCAAGTTCAGAGCCTCTTACGCCAAATCATATTCTCATGATGAAGTCCAGTGTTATTCTGCCCCCTCCTGGTGAATTTGTGAGCCAGGATTTGTACCTGAGAAAGAGATGGCGCCAAGTTCAGTTTTTAGCCAATGAATTCTGGACAAGGTGGAAGAAAGAATATCTTCTTAATCTTCAACAGAGACAAATCTGGCAAAGGAACAAAAGGAATGCAAAGGTAAACGATGTTGTTATTCTTCAAGAGGACAATTCTCCAAGGAACAAGTGGAAACTGGCAAGAGTAATAGAGGTATATCCAAGCGCAGATGGAAGGATCAGGAAGGTGAAGCTGTTGCTAAGTGACTCGACCTTGGATAAGGATGGAAAAAGGACTGTCAAGCCAGTGTATCTTGATAGACCAGTTCATAAAACTGTGTTGTTACTGGAAGCAGAGTAAATGCTAAAATGTAAATATATTTCTATTGTAATGTTATATGTTTGAAGTGAAATCACCACAGGATAGTGATTTGGTGGGAGTTTTACTGCCATAGTTTTAGTTTGTATGTTTTATTTTGTATTAGGCACATGTTTTGTTATTGTGACTTTTATTTTGAAAAGCTAAAGTAGGAAGTACAATCCAGAATGTTCGCTGGGACACAAAAGAAAGAAGCACATGGTAGGAAGGCATGATATTAATTAGTTGTTTAAAGTAATTAAATTTTGCTCATTTCTACCTCAAAAGAACGGTCAGCCAGCGAGGTATGTTTATATGTCTTGTATCATTTATTTATGTCATAGTATTCGTGACACTGTCTCATTTACATTTATGTTGTATTTTTAGTTCGACGGTGGTGTTGTGTCAGAGACACAAAGGTTATAAGAAGAGTTAATTAAAGATGACTAAACACCAGCAGTAGCGAGCTCTTTATTGACTTCAAGAAGAGGTGGAAGTGATATAGACTATATATATATCTATATCTATAGATAGATAGATAGATATTGCTGTCTTATATTGATGGATGTTTTGCAAAAATCTAACCTTTGACCTTGAGCATGTCAGCCATAACAGAAACTTTAAACACATCCTCTAGGTATGAATCGTTTTTGTATGAATGAAGACATTTCCAGAAGTAATGTAATAAAAAATATACTTTAGAAAGCACCAAACCAAAAATAGTTTCAACCTGTCTATAAGTCGGAGATAACTTGAGTATAAGAAAAACTTTTAACAAAGAATAAATGTAAAGTTTCTTTCATGAAAAAAAAAAAAATATTCCATGTGTATCTTGCAATTTGCATCCATAACAGAAATTGTTTTAGGCAAGGCATAGGCACCATCTCTGACTCTTGCCCGGGCCTCATATCAACTTAAATTCGGCCCTGGTGCCAGTTTGTCAGTTGGCTTCCAATGTAGGATTCATAAGTAAGAGTAGGGGAATCTTGCCAATATACCCATCACTCAGATCAGCTGTTGGTTTTATCTTTGGAATCTCAAAACAATCAGAGGAACATTACTGGGATCAACCTGGAATAAATGTCGGAGCAGCTGCTGCCATGTGTTTCAACTTTATAATGGATCCCAGCTGCTCCGTCCAATACACCTGCCACCGCCACATGGTTGGGGAGAGGGCGGGTTGGAGGGAGCCAGACTGGCTAGAAATAATGAATGGACCAGGTTATTTCACCTTGGCTTGGAAGTAAATCCCGTGCTGGTAAGCCTCCTCGTTGTGCAGCGGCAGCCGAGAGTCCGCCACATCGTCCACCAGGTTGTACCTGTTCCTCACGGGCATCCCGGCCTCCCTTTTACTCCTGTACAGTAAAAAAAAAATCACTGAACAGAAGCTGAGCGGATCGATCCAGAAAACGCTACAACAAGCCGGGTGTGCGCGCCCCGCACGGCTCCGTGAGGCACTTCCCGGTGGGAACGCGTTCCATCGCCGCTGCGCGGGGCTCCAACCCGTCCCGACCTCAGGAAGGACAAAACTGCGCGGCTCTTTTGCTCACACACAAAAACAAAAGCAAACACGAACACAGGGTGTCCCCTGCACGTTCTACCTGCCAATAGGGCAAAAATAAATAAATTTTAAAAAGCAGGCAGTGTGTGTGTGTGTGTGTGTGAGTGTGCTGTCCCAGGGGAAATCCTCTTTCTCTCTCTCTCTCTCTCTCTCTCTCTACTCAGGTAATGAGTCCCGCTCCCCCGGAGTCCTGTTTGAATTCCCGTCCACTTGGTCGGATTCAGCACTGCTCTGCAGACGATCAGAGAGTGTCTCCCCCACTCCTTCCCTCCCTCCGTAAAGCACAAAGCGACTCCCTCATTGGAGCGAAGTTCCCAGGCATGATGCAACCGGGAGCTGGGAGGACAGCCAGCAAACAAAGTGAGCCCTCCCCTCAGGAGGCAGGGGGAAAAAAGGTGGGGGGGGGGGATGCAATCATGTCTGACTGTTATGATTTTACTGTGTGAAGGCACAGACATGAGAAGAAAATGAGTAAGTCCGGGAGCTACAGAGCCTTTCAAAATGCACCTTAGCTACACATATAAATAAAATTTTTTTAGATAGATCAAAGTAAAGGGAACATTATATTCAACTTTTTTTTTTTTTTTACAAATAAAATATGAGAACTGTGTTGCTTTATCCACTCCCTTTACTCTGATACCCGTAAATCAAAGAACAACAACAACAAAAAAAACTGCCTGCAGACTAAGTAACACCGCAGACAGGACAAGGTTAAAGTTGAAGAGGTTTAAACCATCATCAATTTAGTAATCTGTTAAAAATGACAAAGTTTAGAGGGGGAAATGCCTCAGTAAGAGGCCAGAAAAGAGCAGCAATAATGAGAAAAACTACCCAGAGGCCCATGACACCTCTGCAGGAGCTATAGAGGTCAACAGCTCAGGTGAGAATCTATTGACATGGCAAAAACAAAAAGGTGTAAGAGGTAACAGGAAAGTTATTAAAAGCAGTAAGACTTCCTTATGAAGTTTGACAGAAGACATGTTGGACACACAGCAAATGGGGGGAAATAATTGATCAAAGTTTAACTTTTGTTGAGCACAACAACCCCACAGAGAAGCATGGTGGTGGCAGAATCATGCTGCGACAACGGCTTCCTTGACTGGAATGAAGCTGAATACCGGGAAGAAAACCTACTGTGGGCTGAAAACAGAAGGCGCTACAAATGAAACAGCTCAGATAGAATGGCCTAGTCAAAGCCTGGTGCATCCGGTTGTTGGTTTTAAAATGTTTGTCAAATTGTAGATATGTGCCGTAATTGATCCATTACTGGTTTTCTTTTCTTTCGTGTCTGGGCTCAGTGAGCTGGTTGCAGGACGTGACGTCCAGCTCAATAAGCTGGTAGCTGCCAAAAAAATAGAGAAGAAAAAACAGCTGAAAATTTAAACGAGAATCATTTTTTGCATATATACACTGCCCCTTATTTATTTATTGTTTTGTTTTTCCTATGAAGTTTGCCTGCATTCCCTCAAATAAGTCTAGAAACAAATCTCTTCGTTTCCTCATTCTCATGCCCTCAGGCCAGATTTCTGATAAAATGATCAAAATTGTCGCAAACATCAATGAGATTGTTTTCATCTTTTGCTATTTTTGCTCAAGAGCCCTCAAATAGCCACTTGCTACCAGTGTCACAAATTATTTCACCTTTTTGACACTTCCCTTTCACACGGTAAAGTTGCGAAATGGTAGAAATGCCCCGAGTTGATTCTTGCTCTGCTTTTGTTAGGCTGCGGCTGCTGATGGACTCTGACGTGTCCCACCCTGCAAAGATCTTGAAACGTCAATGAACAAAACATGATTATCCCCTCTGTGGATTGCAAAAGAAAGAGCTTTTACTCTTCCAGCCGCCTATGATCAACATTAACTTACAGCGCCCTCTGTTGGTTTCAAAGGTGACTAAAATCAAAATACAGTTACAGATTGTGTTCTTGAAAACCCCATTCAATCTGAAGGCCTGGCCTGAAGTAGATTTAGATTTGGCAGACAGAAGAAGTGTTCTGCTGACAAATTGTATTAAGATCTGCTCATTGTGGTGGTTTTAAAATCTGGCCAGTTTTGGAAAACTTTATATGAATCTGGATTGTTGTTTCTTTGCATTTACTTATTTGTGTCAGAGCGAATTTCAAAAATAATCCATCAGACAACATGGCTATACATTGTCATAGTTTTGAGTACTTTGTCTTATAAATTAGTGCTGAAGACTTCATGGTCAACTAAACACAGAAGCATTCCTCCTCTAATTCCTGCAGGTCACTAGATGTTTTTACAGGTGTTGTTTTGTGTTTTTTGTTCAAATTGAAAGCCGAGATACTTTAAAAAGCATCTATTAGCTGCAAATTTGAAAAGAGAAGAATATTGAAGTATATTATATTGTGCTGTAGTAAACTTGCTACCTACTTTAGAACTTTAAAGAAATTCTCAGTTACAGCAAAGGGGGGAAAAAATACAAAGATGTTGTAAGATTTTAATTCCCGTAATTAAATTCCCATTAGTTACATATCAGGCTTTTTATCTGGGGTGTAGAGATAAATTACCAGAGCATAACGACCTAGGTTATCTTGATTTGTGACTACATTACGACTCTGTGCAGCTGCCAGGAATAGCAGAGCGATACATATGAGTGTACAGAAGCACAATGTGAAGAGCGCTCTGATAAATCCGGAGTCTGTTTTGAAGAGCAACATTGTTCTGTCAATTGTAGAAAGATGATTCAGATGTTTTTCTTAAAACCTCAGTTATGTAATATGTGAGTTTTATTCAGAGCAGATTTTATGGGTTTAAAGCACAACTTGAAGGATTGTGCATCATTACCACCCCAAAAGTGTCTTTTTATGGGAAGAAAACCCTTAATAATATATGAGTTGCAGTCATGAGGCCTAATTTATGTAGATGTCACGTTACCAGAGTCAGGCTTTGTCCTTTCATGATACATTAGATTGTGCACTGAAGTGATGCCCCTGCTCTTTTCTAACAGTAGGTCATACATCACTGCAATTACGGTAATGTCTTTTGAGGACTATTATGGTCAGGTCAACCTATTAGAAGCATAGGATGGAGGCTCTGGTAATGTGCTGTGGTCCTGATGTAACACTAGACCTAAAAGTGATCTGATTACATTGATTCTCTTTAAAGTGGAGCAGATTATTAAAAAAATAAATAAATATCAATAAAAATGTAGTTTCTTCCAAGAATGTAGAACATATCTTGGGTTTTGATGATATTCTCTAGCAGGGTGCTAGAGACTAAATCTGGTTTTGCGTGATTCCATTTTAAGCCATGAAGACTCTGTGAGACACACACACACAAAAAAACAAACAAGCAAACCCAGCACTGGTAGTAGCAAGTTTATTTCACCAAATTCAGAATTAGACTTCACATCACAACACACAATGACTGTACACGTACCTCTTACAGCTAAAACGCCATTAAACACCCGCCGGCAACAGATGAATCAAGCGGGCGAATTGCTCGAACTAAATAAAGACAATAAATCAAATGCGTGTGGACCAGGAGAATAACCAACAGTGATGTTCCTTAAACATTCACCAACACCGGAGATTGCTAAAGTGTTTCAACTGGCTAAAGTGACACGGTAGTTTCAAAGTCGTGCAGCTGGCGCTATGTCTGTGTGATACCTGAGAGCTGTCCCTGGTGGTACATTAAATAAAACTTTATCGTAAACTGACAGAATAGAGACTTTTAGACAGCAAAAGCTGTAAGAGACACATGCAAGCAGCATTCGTTTTTCTGGGGCAAGGCAATAAAAACAGCTAAATCGTACAATCTCCGTCTCGCTTATCATGACTAAGGTAAACCATCACCCTGCCTAATGAGTGGCATGCAGTCCCGAAGAAAAACACTTCCTTCCATTAAACTTAATAATGACCCAATTCTTTTAAAGAAACAGAGAAAGAACAAAAAAAAAACAACAAAAAAAAAACAATTTTACAAAATGTTTTACAAATGGTCACACATCCCAGCTCCCTATAGGCTACACAGGCTGAGCTACACTAAATCAGCTTATCTGGGGATACAAAAAAGAAAAGGACACAAAAGTCTAACACAAAACTAATAAACTGTGTGGAAATCTTTGGACAAACCAGATACATTCAATCCCTTTTGCCTTTGTTCATAAATGCCCACAAGCCACTGTTCAGAGGTTTTTGTGTGCCATGTTATCAGACCTTAATACATCTTCTTATTATGAACTCCAGGTTTGGCTGAAATGGGGTTAAAAACTCAGGAGTCTGAGACTTAATTGATCAAAGCCCATAAAGTCAAAACTGTTCAAAAAGTGAAGGGAATACAAGATTTCTCATTTGATCAAGAAAACAAATGAAAACAAAAGAGGTAAGTAAATACAAAAGCTGTGAAAAAAAAAAGACAGTGAAGAGGTTAAGGAAACACTTTAGGTTTTATGAATAAACAGAGATCTCCATATTTACTTTCACCCCTGATAAAAACGCATTGAAAGCTTTAAAATAGATTTGAATTACTGAAGAAGTAATTTCCCTCACACTGGAAACTCTCCTGAAGTTCTCAAACACAGTGAATCGACATTTCTAAGCACATCCACTGCCAATCCTCCACACTTTGGTGGGAAGATAAACTTGGTTCCTTGTCCAACACACCAGGTTTTAAAAAAGCAAAACAAAAAAAAAAAACGTTCTAATTATTGTTCTCACTGTAAATTTTATCCAAAAGAAACCCACCTGCCTGTTTTCCCCACTCATTTTCACATTTTTCTGTAGCAGACTGTCGTGATGCGGTAAAAAATGTTATTCCCTTTTGGGCTTTTTAAACATCATTTCCTTAACTGTATCTGGCTTGATTGGATAATTTAAAACATCAGTTTTAAATGAAAACCGGCACAACAACAAAAACAAGGAATAAACTAAATCCAAACATCATTGTGATTTATGAAATTGCACTGCTCTACTCCTCTTTCATTTTAAATGTGTCCTTTTGCTACAGAGAGCATCGGACATTTTAACTCCCATGTAGTGGGCAGACCTGTGGTTTCTTTTTGATAAACTCAAACTTTATAACGGAAGCATTTCTGCATGTGTTCCATTTTTATTACTAATGTTACATCCCCAGTAAGACTCAGTAGTTTCAAGTGACAGAGTTTCATTTTCCCTAAAATGCAGCCACACATCTGTGTAGTTATTTGTGGCCTCATCATGCAAGACCAGAAGATTTCAACCTCCGGACCACGATCCTGGCTAGCTTGGCTTTTCGCTCCAAGTCAGGTGGAGGTTTCATGTAAAAATATATATTAAACAGTCAAATTTGTTTGTTCAGCTGGTAGGATAACTACCACTGTAAATTGGTTTTCCTTTCCCCCCCTGAAGAACATAAACTCAGTTC